TTGCATATTAGGCGACACACCCCTACTGTAGCCAATCCTCCAAGAGCGTACAGAGCTCTTCTTACTGGGGCTACTGTAAGCTCTTGGAGGATTGGCTACACTAGGGGTGTGTGGCCTAATATGCAAAGGAGCTCCTGCTACCAGTAGAGCCGTGATCTTTCCCTGATGATAGATGCTTCCATCTCAGGGTAAGGAGCCCACTGTGACAAGCTATAGCTGAGCAGGATATAGACCCCTCCCTCACACACACACACACAAACACACACCCCTGCTCTCCACATCAATGTTTTTAGAACTCAGGGCAGTAGGATACGCCCCGTCAGCTTGCATCACGTTAATGAGCGGGGGAAATCTGCACGTCTGTACTAAGAGCACCACAACCAGGCACTACACAAACAGGTGGTGGTGGGGATATCTCTGGATTTATGCTGTGAGTCTTCCCTGATATGGGAATGGCCCATCTACCGGGGGAGGACAATGGTTTGGCAGAAGCCTTGAGAGATGCCTCCTGGAGGAGTCACGAATGGTCACTTTCCACCAAATTTGTCCTCCCTCTTTTTTCTTCCTGGGGGACCCCTTCCGTAGACGTTTTAGCTACCATCCTCAGCACAAAAAAGAAAAAAATTGGTTCCCATGCCAGGAAGGATTCATAACGCGTAGGAGATGTTTTTCAACACCTTTGGCAGAGCACCCTCTTCTGTGCCTTCTCCCTTCTACCCCTCATTACTCAGCCCCTCAACAAGACGCTATGAGTTGGAACCACAGCCATCTTGGTAGCCCCTTACTGGCCGAGACAGAGCTGGTTAACCACCCTTTGTCTGGTAGCCAAGGGCAGGACACAGTCCTTTCCCCACGCTTCTGACCTCCTCCACATCAGGGAAATCTACCACCACTGTCTCCGCAGACTCAACCTAACTGCTTGGTTTGTCCAGCCAAAATAGGAGAATATTCTCATGAAATATGGGATATCCTACTTGAAGGTTAAAAAAAATCTTCCACAAGAAAAGAGAGCCAGTTTGGTGTAGTGGTTAAGTGCGCAGACTCTGATCTGGGAGAGCCGGGTTTGATTCCCCACTCCTCCACTTGCACCTGCTGATGTGACCTTGGGTCAGTCACAGTTCTGATAAGAGCTGTTCTTGAAAAAGAGCAGTTTCTGTCAAGAGCTCTCCTTCTACCTTTAGGTCAGTTCGGTGTCGTGGTTAAGTGCGCGGACTCTAATCTGGGAGAACCTGGTTTGATTCCCGACTCCTCCTCCACTTGCACCTGGCTGGATGACCTTGGGCAAGCCACAGTTCTGATAAGAGCTGTTCTTGAAAAAGAGCAGTTTCTGTCAGAGCTCTCTCAGCTCCGCCGACCTCACAGGGTGTCTGTTGTGGGGAGGGGAAGGGGAAGGAGTTTGTAAGCCGCTCTGAGACTCCTTTGGGTAGTGAAGGGCCGGAGGGTATAAATCCAATCTCTTCCTCTTCTTCATTTAAATGGGGGGAGTTCCTGGAGGTGGGCATGGGGTGGGCAAGGACCTCTCGGCTATTTTTGATTACCTGGTATCCCTTAAGGCCAGAGTTCTGGCCGATTCCTCCGCAAGTTCCCCTTTGCTGCAATCTCAGCTTTTCATGCCGCCACCTTAGCAAAGGTGGTGTTTCTGGTGAGCTCTCTGGACTTCTGTTTAGATCCTCTTTCCGTTGTTGGCTTCAGGGAACTGAGGGAGGGAGGCATTCTCTCACCCCTTTATATAGGTGCTAAAGGATGGGGAAGCGCCTCGTACTGTCAGGAGTTTTTGGAACGGCCATGGCAGGCTTGTGCAATCGCAGTTCCCCGGGTGTGTCTGTGCAGAAGAACACTCGATGAACATCCTGTTTTCTCCGATTAAAACTGCCTGTTCTCTTGAAGGACTGTCAACTAAATCCGTGCTTTTCGTTCCCTTGCTCAGAACCTCCGACCTGCTCCCCTGATCAGTTCACATGTGCAACTGGAGAGATCGACTGCATCCCTATGGCCTGGCGATGCGATGGATTCTCTGAATGTGACGATCGGAGTGACGAGGATAGCTGTCCAATATGCTCAGCGGCCCAGTTTCAGTGTGAGAAAGGGCAGTGCATTGATGCCCGGTTGAGATGTAATGGAGAAATAGACTGCCAGGATAAATCCGATGAAGCAGACTGTGAGAGTAAGATCAGTTATTTTAACCTTCTGGGGTACGATGCTAGACGATGACTAATGGCATTTCCACACATTCCTGGGATCAGTTACTACACTGAACACAAAGTGCACATAGGTAAAGGTAAAGGTGTCCCTTGCTCGAAAGCCAGTCGAATCCGACTCTAGGGTTGCAGTGCTCATCTCCGTTTCAAAGCCGAAGAGCCAGCGCTGTCCGAAGACGTTTCCGTGGTCATGTGGCCGGCATGACTAAACACCGAGGCGCACGGAACGCTGTTCCCTTCCCACCGAAGCGGTACCTATTTATCTACTTGCAATTTCTTGCTTTCGAACTGCTAGGTTGGCAGGAGCTGGAACTAGAGACGGGAGCTCACTCCGTCATGCGGCACCCTGGGTCTTGGAACTGCTGAACTACCGACCTTCCACAGCCTGCAGTTCAGCGTCTGAACCACTTGAGCCACCGCAGCTCCTAAAGTGCACATAGAAATAGTCTATTCAAAAAGTTCTTGCTGTTGGTCGCTTTTAGAGCTACCGTTACTGTCTTGCCACAGCAGTAGTTCTGCCTCCCAGCCTGATCCCACTACATGTTGTGGGTTGGGTGAGTAGTGTGCTCGTGATTCAGCGCCCATGCACAAATCCATTCATTTGGAAGTGGTACAAGAGAGCCCAAACGGGCCATTTTTGCTTCCCTACCTTTTCAGAGACCTCCTGAGATACTTTTCTTGGGGGTTATCTCTTGGGGGATCGTGCTGCAATGAGCATTGCTTTTGGATCGGTCGGGGGGGTCAAGCATTGAACGTGGCTGGCAGTGGTCCGCCTACCTCGCTTACTCATAACCAACCAGCCAGGGTTCAGAAGTCTTTTCTTTTCTCTCTGGGTCCTTTAGCCACAAACAGGTGCAATCCCTTTTACTTGTTCCTTAGGAATGTCAATAGGTGTATGTATTATCTATTCATGAGCAAATCATTATAAAATGGGAAGTGAGCAAGTTGGCTGTGGAATCAGGAGGAGCTGCTTCAACCTTTAACTTCACGGTGCTTGTTAAAAGGACTGCTGCTGGTTAATTTCTACTGGTTATCCATTTCACTATGTCATTGCTTTTGCATGCCAGCACTTCATACAGTGGAGCTGCGGTGGCTCAAGTGGTTAAGAGGCTGAACTGCAGGCTGTGGAAGGTCGGTAGTTCAGCAGTTCGAGACCCGAGTGTGCCGCATGGCGGAGTGAGCTCCCGTCTCTAGTTCCAGCTCCTGCCAACCTAGCAGTTCGAAAGCAAGACATTGCAAGTGGATAAATAGGGACCGCTTCGGTGGGAAGGGAACAGCGTTCCATGCGGCCTTGGTGTTTAGTCATGCCGGCCACATGACCACAGAAATGTCTTCAGACAGCGCTGGCTCTTCGGCTTGGAAACGGAGATGAGCACCGCAACCCTAGAGTCGGACTCGACTGGCTTTCGAGCAAGGGAACTTTTACCTTTTTCCTTCATACAGTATGAACTACTGGTGTATTACTGACAACTTTTCTCTTCAGAATCTGACAACAAAACAATTGTTTTTTGACTTTATATTTTTTAAAAGTTCTCTAATGCCCTGTTAATGGTCTTTTCACTATTTGATTTATGCTGAGAATGAAATGTATGTTCTCTTACAGTGATTTGTCTTCCAAATCAGTTCCGATGTGCCAGTGGCCAGTGTATCCCCACAAAACAGCAATGCGACTCATTTCCAGATTGCATTGATGGTTCTGATGAACTTGCATGTGGTAAGGACCTTCTTCTTTTTAAAATTATGTTTCCATCCAGATACAGATGATTCATTCTAGAATGTCTCTTTGAAAAATTACCCCTAAATCTAGAAAAGTAAACCCGTTTTTGTACAACTGAAAGAAGAGAAATCCGCAGCTATAAGATCAGCCAGCAATGGGGTTTCTCTTGGCCATCTGTGGGCTTTCCAGAGTGGGACTTTCCTGGCTCCATCTGTAGCAAGACCACTGAGCCCCCTGAAATTTTGTTCCTGGGAGGGAAGTGGACCAATAGCAGAAGTGGCAAAGTTGATCGAGTCAGGAATCAGTGGAATTCGGAGGTGGGAATCAATGGGAACTGCCTTCCCCTGCTCCACAAATTGAAATACCATCATATCAGAGATATGTGGATCCATTCTCATATACCTAAATGCAGGGCTTTTTTTGTAGAAAAAGCCCAGCAGGAACTCATTAGCATATCAGGCCACACCCCTGATAGCACAGCTCATTGGCATATTAGGCCACACCCCACATGCTACCAGAAGTGTGCTCATCCAGCCACACCCACCTTTCCCTTCTTATTCGGTTTACCTTGTTTGTTGTCAAAACCCAGGGCCTTTTTTTGTAGCAGGGACTCCTTTGCATGTTAGGCCACACACCCCTAATGTATCCAGTCCTAATGAGTTTCTGATGTTGGGTGTGGCCTATTATGCTAATGAGTTCCTGCTGGGCGTGGCCAACTTGGAAGCCAGCCGGAACTCCGTTCCTGTGCGTTCCTGCCCCAAAATACCCCTGCCTAAATGTGCTCTGTCAAAAGGAATTTGTTCATGCCGTGGCTCATTGGAAAGGCAAAAGAATAAGCTATAATTGTCTAATATACTTCAGGTGACTATCTGGATTAGGTAAAGCGCTATATGCCATAAAATTATTATAAATGTGGGGAAACTTGACTTTTTATAATTTGTGTAATGGATAGAGGTAACATTAGTAAGGGAGTTTATTAGCTTTCCAACAGTACTTTAAGATTTGAAATTGGTCACTTGTAGTAGAGACATCACCCTGCCAACAAAAGTCCGCATGGTCAAAGCAATGGTATTCCCAGTAGTCATGTATGGCTGCGAGAGTTGGACTATAAGGAAGGCCAAGCGCCGAAGAATAGATTCTTTTGAACTATGGTGCTGGAGAAGACTCTTGAGAGTCCCTTGGACTGCAAGAAGATCCAATCAGTCAATCCTAAAAGTAATCAACCCTGACTGTTCCCTGGAAGGCCAGATAATGAAACTGAAGCTCAAATACTTTGGCCACCCAATGAGAAGGGAGAAGACCCTGGAGAAGACCCTGATGCTGGGAAAGATTGAAGGTCAAAGAAGACGGGGATGGCAAAGGATGAGATGGTTAGACAGTGTCATAGATGCAACGGACATGAAATTGAGCCAACTTCAGGGGACGGCGGAAGACAGGAAGGCCTGGCATGATCTGGTCCATGGGGTCGCGAAGAGCCAGACTCGACTGTGCGACTGAACAACAACAAAAGGGATGGGCATGAACCAGCTCACAAACTAAAGTTCATGATGAATTTTGTCTGGTTCGTGGTTTGCAAAGCAAAGTTCATGGCAGGGCAACCGGCAGGGGCATATTGAGGCGTAAACTTAATAAATATGCCACAGACTGACTACAGTTTTTTTCTAGAGTCTTTCACAACAGTCTTGGACATTTCCCCCTTCTTTTCTTTCTTTTCCAGCAAAAAGTAAATCCTCTTCAGATGAATCTCAACCTCACAGTAGTGCCATTGGGCCTGTCATTGGTATCATTCTGTCTCTTTTTGTCATGGGAGGAATGTACTTTGTTTGCCAGCGCGTGGTATGTCAGCGCTATGCTGGGCCAAATGGACCTTTCCCACATGAATATGTCAGCGGTACACCTCATGTCCCATTAAATTTTATTGCTCCAGGAAGTTCTCAACATGGCACTTTCACAGGTAAGGTCCCTGCATCTGAATATTAGTGGTAATATTCCTTGTATGTATTTATTTTATAACATGTCAAAAAGCTGCTTGATTATGCTATATGGCAAGGGTGGGCAAACTGTGGCTCGGGAGCCACATGTGGCTGTTTCACACATATTGTGCGGCTCCCGGCAGGGCAGCTGGGAAAGCAAAGGGGAAGCATGCCTCCCGAATTCGTCTTCCCTTCCCCAGCCAGTGCTTCCCTCCCTAGGTAGGCTTGAGGTGCAGGGGAGCAGAGAAAGAAAGCAACTTTAAATGTGTTCTCAAAGACACAAACACCTGCCAGCCGGCTTGGAGAAGGCATTTGTCTCTTTAAATCCCTTCTCCAAGACAAGCCAGCCGGGGGGGAGGGGGGGCTTGGAAGACACATTTAAAGTTAAAGTTGCTTTCTTTCCACCTCTCCCTCCCTCCCCCCATCTATTTGCTTCTTTCTCCCTCCCCCCCTCCCCATATAAAGTTAAATGTGTTCTCCAAGCCCCGCCACACCAGCCAGCTGGCTTGGCTCAGAAAAGGCATTTGTCTCTTTAAATCCCTTTTCCAAGCCAAGCCTCCGTGGCAGCAGGGCGCTTGGAGAACACATTTAGTGTTAAAGGTGTTCGCCAAGCCCCCGCCCAACAGCTTGTAGGCAGCATTTGTCTCTTTAAATCCCTTTGCCAAGCCAGTTGGCATGGGGCATGGGGGGGGTTGGAGAACACAAGTCAAAGTTGCTTTCTTCCACCTCTCTCTCCCTCCTTCCCTCCCCATTTATTTGCTTTCTTTCCACCTCTCTCTCTTCCCCTTTGTCCCTCCCTCCCCTATCTATTTGCTTTCTTTCCACCTTTCTCTCTCTCTCTTTGTCTCTTCCTCTCCCTTCTTTCTTCCCCCTCCTTCAACTATTTGCTTTCTTTGTTTCTCTCTCTCTTCCTTCCTCCCCCTCCCCAATCTACTTGCTTTCATTGTTTGTTTCTTTATATATTTCTTCCTTCCTTCCACCCTCCTTCCCCCTCCCTCCCACCATGTATTTGCTTTCTTTATTTCTCTCTGTGTCTTTCTTTCCACCTCTTTCATTCTTTCTTTCCACCTCTCTCTTTCTCACTCTCTTAGACGATTAATATCATTAGCGAACAAATATAATTGGACAAATAAATATCATCAACAAGATGTGTTTTTACCCTTTTTTATTTTGGCAGTCTCATTTAATGTTAATAAAAAGCAAATGTGCACATTTTCCAATAAAAATGTGTGTGAAATATTTGTCCACTAGGAGTAAGGCCCATTGTGAGAAGAAATACAAAGAGCTCTAGAAGGAAGCTCCAGCTGAGTGTCCCCGCTGTGGCTGGTGGGGCAGCAGAGGGAAGGGGAAAATAGAGGGAGGCAAGCCATGTTTATTTCCTTCTGCTTAGCTATAAGGCAGGGCTGTCCCAAGTCATTTTGCTGCCCCAAGTCGGTAGTATGGGAGGACAGCCTCATGGTAACAGGTATGGTTCCCTCCCTCCCTGACTTATGTTGATTTGGGGTTATGCAGTGGCAGCTAAGGCAGAAAAGCACTTCCTCCTCTGTCAGGTCTGGAAAGCAGTTCCATAGCCAGATACAGGGTTGCCAACTCTGGGTTGGGAAATACCTGTAGATTTGAGAAGTAGAGCCTGGGGAGGGCAGGGTTCAGGGTGTGGAGGGGCCTCAGCAGGGTATAATTCCATAGAGTCCATGACCCAAATTAGCCATTCTCTCCAGGAGAACTGATCTTGGAGATCTCCAGGTGCTGCCTGGAGGCTGGCAATACTAAGGGGAGGGCCAGACCTGTAGATTTGAGGGATAGAGCCTGGGGAGGGCAGGGTTTGGGGTGTGGAGGGACCTCAGCAGGGTATAATGCCATAGAGTCCATGGCCCAAAGCAGCCATTCTCTCCAGGAGAACTGATCTTGGAGATCTCCAGGTGCTGCCTTTAGGCTGGCAATACTAAGGGGAGGGCCAGACCTGTAGATTTGAGCGGTGGAGCCTAGGGAGGGCAGGGTTTGGGGTGTGGAGGGACTTCAGCAGGGTATAATGCCATAGAGTCCATTGCCCAAAGCAGCCATTCAGGAGAACTGATCTTGGAGATCTCCAGGTGCTGCCTGGAGGCTGGCAATACTAAGGGGAGGGCCAGACTCTGTAGATTTGAGGGGTAGAGCCTGGGGAGGGCAGGGTTTGGGGTGCGGAGGGACCTCAGCAGAGTATAATGCCATAGAGTCCACTGCCCAAAGCAGTCGTTGTAATAGCTGGGAATAGCTGGGAAATTTTCTGTAGGGGAAATGATGTGCTGTGGCTGGGGAAAACGGTGATTTCTGGGAGATCTCCAGGCCTCACAGGGAGATTGGCAACTCCAGTGACCATTTAAGGGAAGATTGGGATATGTATTTTGGCAACTCCAGTGACTGTTTAAGGGGAAATTGGGATATGTATTTTACCTCAGGACACATTCAATGACTCCCAGCAGCAACAACAAATTGGCAAAGGCCAATCAGGCCGCATATGCAAATGATCTCTGTGTTCTGACTGGCTTTTGGGGGGAGAGGAACAGCAAACTGTTTAGAATACTGGAGGCGAGACTCCGGCAACGCAGCCAGTGGATAGGGACAGCTTCTGAGTGACAGATCAGGGAGTCAACTGATTTGGGAGTGTGTGGAATGTTCAGGAGAGTCCATGACCAAAACAAAATTATTATATAGAGAGATGTGTTGTGGCTCTCAAACGTCTGATGTTTATTCTGTGTGGCTCTAACATTAAGTAGGTTTGGCCACCCCTGCTATATGGCTACTGTAATGTATTGCTGCTTTCTGAGAGCGTTTCCCAGTGTTTTGGTGGGATATGCTTAACTGACCAATGAAGGGCAAATGTTTGAAGCTGTTTGCTCTTGTATTCAGAGTTCTGGATCAAAGTCATGACATCGATATAGAATCCTTATAATCATATCATCTTTGTCTTTGTTCTTTGAGTGTATAATAAGACCATTTTCATTCATCATTGCTCCAGTCCAGAGTTATATGGGTTGTCTAGTGCATGCATAGCACTCCCATATATGAAGACTGTGTCACTTACTTCATTGCCTAGTGACCATGGTATACTCATCCTGTTGCAAATATGGAAATGTCCTTTCTGTTTGAACAGGCAAGCCCATGTGCCTATCTGAATGCTCATATATGCAAAAAGTAAATAGGCATTCTGGTGCTCACACTCACTCTTCTAGTATCTTTATACTTGCTCCTTACCCAGCCCATCTCATATAGATTATAACTATGCTTTTAAAATATCTATTTCCTTCAGCTTAATATCTTTATTTCACGTGTGGAATATGTCCTAGGACTAGGAGAACCTTGCTCGCTCTATCCATAAATTCAGTAAAGATATTTTTAAAGCTTTAAGGATTTGTATTTGTGGTCTAGCAATTAGGGGTATGTGTAACAGAATTCCCAAGCCAGATATATACATGGAAATCACTGTTTGAGGGCATTACCATGATTTTCTGGAATTGTATTTGGAATCCAGCATTCTTAGTAAAATAAAACTATCCTCCCCAAAGAAATCCATGTTATTTCCAAGTTTGAGTGGTGCTAGCTTGCTACAGCATGTGCTCATGTTTTTCTTTGATTCTGCTGATTTCTCAAGTGATGGCATGTCTTCCTTCCAATTGGATCCTTGTAAAGGAAGAGCACAGAGTGCTGCCAGCCAAACACCTTTGGAGGCAAGCCACACAAAAACACTGTACTCTTTCTCTCCTTGTTTTCTGGAGGGTGGAGCTCTTTTGTTCTTTGCAAGTACTGTGGCTTGGAAAAATTAGAGAGTTGGGGCAGCTTGTTCAGGGTCCTGTGGAATTCTTCCCCTTAGTCCAATTTGCTTGAAACTTGGGGGTTCTTTAGTAAACAGCGGTCACTCCACTGCAATTTTGGTATAATTTGGTTGAAAAAAGCCACTCCAGCCCCCTTGAAAAGTCCCCCATATGTCATAATAGCAGGATGTACAGGAATAACAGGGAACACTCACTGAGAAGAACAGGAGATGCCTGAAGTCCATTGAATATAAGGTGAGCCAGGAATATCAGTGGATTTGGATAGGCTCCATTGAAGTACATTACAGCACAGAAAAGATGCAATGAAAATATGGAATGGATTATGAGAAACCTCCCCTGGGGCGGGAATGACTGGCCCTGGGAGTAGAATGACTGGCCCTGGGAGTAGAATGACTGGCCCAGGGCACAGATAAGCAGCTCTGGGACTGGAATGACAGCCCCTCAGGGAACTGATTCTGGTCCCAGGAAACATCCACTCTGGCAGCTGTTGTCCCAGTCCCAGACCACCAGTTCTAGTCCCAGGGACTGTAATTCCACTCTGGAAGTTTCCATAATTGCAGACCACCAAAATGTATGGTGGGTTTGCAAAGGAAGCCATTTTCACTTTGTGAAAACAAACAGACCACAGCATAAAAGGATAGCAAATTCAGTTGAAAGGTGTAAGATTTTTTATTCTCAATGTGTTTTTTGGGGGGGTGGGATTAAATACTGTGTACAGCCGGTGCTCATCCCCTAGGCTGCTGCTTGACCACCATTTTAGGAATGAGTGGAGAGAAGTGTGGCTGTTTGGAGAGTCACCAACTTTGGGGGGGGGTCTGTAAAATTGAACCCCTTGGTTGAATCTGCTTGATAATTAGGTGTCTTTAGATTACAGAGAGGACTGTGTTTTGTGCAAACTTGGTGCCACTATCTTTATAAATAGCTGCCCCAGACTTCCAGAATTCTGGAACCACATGGATTTGAATCCTGTATTGGTAATGTCCTACTCAAAAATAAGCAATCACCGTAAAGATCCTGCCCTCCCCTACCAAATCTGAAATTATAGTGCAATTTTTGTTGGTGCACACCCCTACTGGCAATTGACCTGATTTTATATGTTACATGCAAGTGTAAAATCCTGACTATCTGTACCTTTGTTCTCCACAAAGGCATCTCATGTGGAAAATCTATGATCAGCTCCATGAGCCTCATGGGAGGAAGCAGTGGTGCCCCTCTTTATGACAGAAACCATGTAACTGGGGCCTCTTCTAGTAGCTCGTCCAGCACTAAAGCCACTTTCTATCCACAGGTAAGTTTTGAAAGCACTAGTTTCTCCCCCTCCCTCAAAATGAAGAAAGAATAAGCATGGATGCTAAGGATGAGTCAATCAAGATTGTTCTTGGACACTGATCCCTACTGATTGCAGACTAGTCTAATGCCCATTGATAATAGTGGCCACTGTCTCATGCATTTCATTGAGCAATCGTGAAACTGTTTTCAGAACAATCCCAGAGAAGTCAAAATGATCAATCAGCTTGCTAATGAGTAAACGATAGCAGATTTTGCAGCACATGTTGTTAAGATGATGACTGTTGAGCAGGGCTTTTTATTTGTAGAAAAAGTCCAGCAGGAACTCATTAGCATAATAGGCCACACCCCTGACAGTACAGATCATTAGCATATTAGGCCACACCCCATGATTTCCCTTGGCTTGCCTGGGAACCCCACGGCTGTGGGGAGCCCGGGCAAGCCGGCCCTCGGACAGGCTGGGGAAGGCATGGGGAGGCATTTAAATGCCTCCCCGAACCTTCCAGGGCCCCCCTGGCCTGCCCACCTCGGAGTCACTGGGGGGGGTCGCTCTCCAGGCCTTCCCTCTGTAGCCAGGCACGCAGAGGTTTTGGCTGTAGTGGGCGTGGCCAACTCTGAAGCCAGCCGGAACTCCGTTCCTGTGCGTTCCTGCCCAAAAATAGCCCTGCCGTTGAGAATATTCTTTTGAATTCTTGTTCTTGCTTTCCCCCCTCCTCTAAAATGCAATTACTGTGTTCTTTGTGAATTTTTGATGTTGATATTGATGATATTGAGACACTTGGTACTGTGTGCTTCCACAGGCATATGCCAGAGTGAAAAAACAAAGAGAGGTCCAGTGGAAGGGGTGTGTGTGTGATGGGGAGCTTCAAAGGTTAAACATTTAATCCACTGTTTGTTTACATTGATTCATCTTGGATCTCCGAGAACCAACTAAAATCCCCTGAACCAGATTTTCCATAAATAAAACAGCCATCATAGCACAGAAAACAAGAGCTGAAGAGAGAACTGTGATCATGTCAAGAAAGTATATTTATATCGATCCGTTCCAACCTAGGCACTTTCCTGCTAATTATGCAGGCTTGTGCATAAGGCGCAATTACTCCACCCCCAGCCAGTCCAAGCTGTTGCTGAGCAGCTCTTCAAGATCTCAGGCCTGACTTTCCCGGTCCCATTGCTTTCTTTTGTGACCTTGAGTGAGTCAACCAAAGTTTCTCATATCAAAGTTCGTTTCAGAGGGTAGCCGTGTTGTTCTGCAGTGGAAGAGCTAGAGTCTAGCAGGCAAATAAATCAGGGCAATGGCTAGCCATTAAACTCAGAAAGGAAAGAGAAAAGAGACTGATCCATTCCTTATATGATGGGGAGAAGAAGGAGATATTTCAGAAAGAAGAACTAAAGAAAATAGTGCAATATTTCTATACCCAGCTATATGGGAAAGAGCAAATATCAAAAGAAAAACAAAAGCAATACATAAAAAAGGATCTTCCTATATTATCTGAAGAAAATAGGAAATATCTCAATGACTCAATGACTCCCATCACGACAATGGAAATCGATACGAAAGCAAAATAGGGGGAAAGCACCGGGCCCGGATGGGTTACCCACAGAATACTATAAAGTGCTAGAGGATATTATTCTTCTACCATATAAGAATATGATTATGACAGTTATAGAAGAGGGGGTTTTGCCTGATTCTTGGACGGAAGCAACGATCTCATTGATACACAAAGAAGAAACAGATCCAAAAGAAGTTAAGAATTATTGTCCTATATCCTTGCTCAATTGTGATTATAATTTTTTTGCATCAGTCTTGGCCACAAGATTGAAAAAAGTAGTATCAGAATTTATACATCAAGACCAAACAGGATTTTTACTGAAAAGGCAATTAAGGAACAATGTCAGAATGGTTATGAATATACTAGAATATTATGAAGCCCATCCTGAGAAACAGATGGCTGTAGTATTTCTGGATGCAGAAAAAGCCTTCGATAATGTCAGCTGGCAATTTCTTATTGAACAGATGAAGGAAATGAAATTTGGAACTGATTTTATAAGAGCAGTTAAAGCCATAGGAAATGAAAAGAAAGCGAGGATAGCTATAAACAACCATTTGACAGATGTTATTTGGATTGAGAAATGGACAAGACAAGGATGCCTTTTGTCACCACTTCTATTTATCTTAACTTTGGAAGTTTGGACAGGAGCAGTTAGGAAAGATCCTGCGATTAAAGGAACTTCAGTTAAGAGTCATGAGTATAAACTGCAAGATTTGCAGATGATTTAGTATTTATTCTGGAAGACCCAACAGACTCATTTGTTGAATAAAATTAGAGACTATGGAGAAATGGCTGGGATGAAAATTAACTATCAAAAGACAAAGATTATAACAAAGAATATGACTTCTAACAAAAAAACAGAGTTAATTCATCTGACAGGATTTCAGTCAGAGAAAAGAGTTCAATATTTGGGAATAAATCTAACCTCAAAGTGTAGTTCTTTGGTGAAAGACAATTATCTGAAATTGTTTCAAGAAATTAAAAAAGATCTAGAAAGATGGAAAAATCTGCATTTATCCCCGATGGGAAGGATTGCAGCTTGAAAATTAATATATTGCCACGTATTATTTTCTTGTACCAGACTATTCCTGTTTGCATTAATCACTCTTTCTTTGAAAACACAAATAAACAAATATCTGAATTTATTTGGGAAGGAAAACCCCCCAGAATCAAGTTGAAAGCATCACAAGACTTTAAAGAAAATGAGGGTTTTGCTCTACCAGATTGGAGGATGTATTATAAAGCAGCCTGCCTAGTATGGATGAGATAGTGGATTTTATTGGACAATCAAAGACTTTTAGCTCTAGAGGGACATCACTTAAAGTTAGGGTGGCATGTTTTTGTTTGGTATGGGAAATACCTGTAGATTTGAGGGTTAGAGCCTGGGGAGGGCAGGGTTTGGGGTGTGGAGGGACCTCAGCAGGGTATAATGCCATAGAGTCCACTGGCCAAAGTATCCATTGTCTCCAGGAAAACTGATCTTGGTGTTCCCTTCTTGTTTTTCATGTAATTGTAAAGTTACCTTCTGATGGGCAGTTCGGGCAGCCAACTGATTTTGCCACGCACAGAATGTTGCCATGCGAAAATGCTTTTATATATAAGGACAGGAGGACAGGATAAGCCACTGGCAATAAACCAAACTGTAAAACCAGGATTTAGAGCTGGTTTGTCTCTAGAACATGTAGACCTATTTTGCAAAGTGTTTTTGGTGTAAACTGGCACGTCTGTGTGGGTGCTGTATGCTGCCTTGGTTTTTTGAACCCATGGCTATGTTGAATGTAACCGTTCCTTTTTAACCGCTGCAGATTCTCAACCCACCACCTTCGCCAGCAACTGATCGCTCCTTGTACAACACTGAAATGTTCTACTCGTCAAACATTCCTTCAACAACAAGATCTTATAGGTATCCAGCTTTTAGAGTTCTTTATCCAAAGTCAATGTCAACAAGCTGAAATGAACGTGTTTAAAAGCTTTAGCATTTTAATTTTTAAAATCTTCTTTGTTACCGTGTTTTGAGCTTTCTTGAGATGCTGAAATGCTGTATTTTCAGCTGTGGTCATCTTTTGTTTATCACTCAGTCTAAAATGTTTCTTCCAATACTGCTGTTTGGTTTTGAATTTCATAGAGTGTTAACTAGTAGGGAGACTGGGTAGGGAGACAAGCCTTTGCAGAGGTGTTCCAGTCTAACCCTGTTGAACTCAGTGGGCTGAGACTGGAGTAATGCTGTGTAGCATTGCAGAAAGTGCACGCTTCAGTATAGGAAGGCTGATTAATTGCATTGTTTCTGTTTTCCTTCTTTAGCTTTTCTAATTTTGTTTGTTTTTAAATCTGATTGTAAATCAGATTGAAAATGCAGAAAGGTGGGATAAAAACAAATATAATGTGCACGTTGCTCAGGGAAAGGCCAGACCAGATTTCAGCATTTTTCCAGACATAAATCTTCTGTGGGAGATAAACATCTTAATAAATGAAGCTGCCTTGCTCCAGATCAGACTGTTGGGTCATTTAAGCCCTTGGTATTATCTACTCGGGAGTCTCAGAGCGGCTTACAAACTCCTTTCCCTTCCCCTCCCCACAACAGACACCCTGGGAGGTAGGTGGGGCTGGGAGAGCTCTGAGAGAAACTGCTCTTTTTCAAGGACAGCTGTGCCAGAACTGTGGCTTGCCCAAGGTCATCCAGCCAGGTGCAAGCGGAGGAGTGGGGAATCAAACCCAGTTCTCCCAGATTAGAGTCCGCGCACTTAACTGTTACACCAAACCACTACACCAAACTACCATCGTTACCGCCTTCTGATTATTGGAGCTTAACCCTACTTTTGATGCGGATGCAAATAGAATGCTCTCTCTAGTGTCTGGCATCTTTTCCCCCCCTGTTGTGCACGTTTTAAAAATGCAGCTAACTCTTCGTTTATTTTCCCCCAGGCCGTATCTTATTAGGGGCATAGCTCCGCCAACAACCCCGTGCAGCACTGATGTTTGTGACAGTGACTACACCACGAGCAGATGGAAAGCGAATAAATACTACATAGATCTGAACTCAGACTCAGACCCCTACCCTCCGCCCCCTACCCCTCGCAGCCAGTACATGTCCGCCGAAGAGAGCTGCCCACCATCTCCCGCTACCGAGCGGAGTTACTTCCACCTCTACCCACCTCCACCTTCTCCTTGTACAGACTCGTCATGATTTCAGCCGAAGGGACTTTCTTTGCGTGTAAATATATTTTAAATACGAACAAAGATTTTTTTAAAGTATATATATTTTATGATCTAAAAATGGGGAGGGTACTTAACAAATGTGAATAAAAAATGGGTGGGTCTGGACTGTGAAAATTGTACAATGGAAGAATATTTATAAAGCCGTTTTTAACTTAATATCCATTCTTTTGTGCCATATTTGCCTTTGCATCGAAGTCACAAAATTAAATTGACCTCCAAAGGAGGTGGGGGATGGGGGATATAATATTAGGAGCTATTTGAAGTCACCGTTTTGATCAGTAAAGGGAAATGTGCTAAGTTTGCTACTATGGGGGGGTTTTCTAAGTAACAAAAAAGGGTAGTAGGAAATACTGTGTGAATGAATGGCAGAGTTGTTTGAAACACACACGGGAAATTGGGGGGGAAATATTTTATGTTATTTGCTCACAGCTAATTAACCACAAAAATGCACTTTTCTTTTGGAATGTAGAATGCAAAATAATGGCCCCTATTTTTATTCCACCATTCACAATCCAGAGGAAGCTGTACATGAAAAAAAAAATTGAATTTTGAATCTTGCACTCATTTTCTTCACCACAAATCACTTCTACGGAGATGAAATAAGCATGCATACATTTATACACATTTATGCCTAGCAAACTCTTGAGAGAATTCTGAGAACCCTAAAGTAATGTTAATTAGGCAGGCAAAGGATGTTTTTTCTTTGTTTATTAACACTGTAATTCCATTTGGTAATTGTCAGGAGATATGTGGCTGTGAATTGAACAGTAGCAATAGAAATGAAATAGAGAAAGGAAATACCACTGCCACTTGTCTTGCTGTTCTGGAAAATCACAACCTTGTATAATCCAGAAACATATAACCTGTTGTCCAGGGCAATCTTTTGTCGTTGTTTTTGGCCCATGGAATCTTGGTGTGAAAGTTCCAAGTTTTACATTTTTGTTTGCAAAACTGCAAATAAATGACTGCACCATGTAGTCAATCGTTTATTTTTCTATCCGTTTGATTTTTAAAAGGGTGTCCCCAAATAGTCAGGCTGCAGATTGATGGAAGTACCTACAACTCCAGGTACTGCAAGAGCTGCCTTAGAAGAAGCCTTTCTCCTTTTAATCCTGAAACAGGACAAATCCCTCTTCTAAGACAGTACCTCTTCTGACATACACATACATAATTTTAAAACAAATTTTAAAAAATCCCTTGCTTTTTCTTCAGAACAATTGTTTTCATATGTCATTTTTTATAACACTTCACATAGCCTTAAGCAGGATCGCTGTGCAAATGTTCACAGTGTTCTTGGAAGTGTTCTGTCTCAAATCGAAAAAATAGTAGGCAAATTTAAACGGCCGTTTAAAAAAATCTGAGAGGCCTGAAGAACTTATAATAGTCCCAGAAGTCTGTTGGCACTAGACCAGCAAGTTTTAGATTAACTAATTCCAGAGCAGTCTGTAGAACATTAGGCCTCTCAAACCTGTTGTGCTTATGATCGGAGTAGAACATCCCTGCAAATACTGGCTTGGCACTGTACATTGTGGTGATATGTTGGCATCATTCGTAGCTGTTGGTATCTGCTGCTATCCTAAGTTATTCTAAGGTGGCATACTCAGTCTTAAGGTCAAAGAGTAGATGGATTTTTACTCTGCACTCTCCGACACTGGGTTGCTGTAGACAAGGGTTCCTTGGCCACAACCCTGTCCCTAAGCTTTGCATGTACTCTAGATGTGCATGTGGAATTCTTGTGGGCGGGGGCTTACCATAGGGATGCCAGCCTCCAGGTGGGACCTAGGGATCTCCTGGAATTATAGCTCATCTCCAGACTACAGAGATGAGTTCCCTTGGAGAAGAAGAATGCTTTGGAGGGTGAACTGTATGGCACTGTACCCCACAGAGAAGTCTTTTCATATACACTGGCTGTCCCACACACTGCAATCAGGACAGATAAGTTTCAAGTCAGTATTTGTACTTGAAGATGCATATTTCATAGGTGGTTGGGAGGAAAGACAGTGACACGTTTTGTAACAGCCACCTGTACTTTTGCTTTGAGCGTGAAGGACAGAGTGGATGGAATCCAAGTAGCCTAAGAGCTAGGATGTGAACAAGAAGTAAAAGATGACTGGAAAAGAAAGAAAGAACCAACAATAATCTGTTTGCACAGCTGCGGAACAGCACGTGCAACAGGCCTCTGCCAGCCTTAAGAGCACTGACAAGGATGAAAAATGTTCCTTTTTGAACTCGTAGCTGGATTTTTAGCAAATATTTTTGGCAGAGCAAGATGTGAAACTCTTCCAAACCCTGGCCAGTATTTCCTATCTTATTGACAGGGTGGAGTCTGACTTCTGATGCTTTCTTACCACGTCATTCTTCCGCTCAGTTTGTTCTTCCTAGCCATCTGGACCTTAGGATTTATCAGACGCTATTTAGACCTGTGGGATTTTTCATTTCCAGTATCTTGAGAAATTACTATTACAGTCCTGTTCTTTGCTTCCCATGATAAGGTTTAGTATAGTGTGGGGGGGGGGACTTGCAATAATCGTTAAATGTCAGGTCTGTGCCCATGAATACTGCAAAAGTAAAGTTAATTTCCTCTAAGCCTTAGGGTGCAAAGTATGCAGTTTTATTGCTTGCTCCTATGACAGGCATTGCTCACATTCAAGCAGCTGCCGGACTCAGGTCAAAGTCATAATGGAGCTTCTCAAGTGGCTTTCAGCACATCTCCCAGTTTAATGATGTAAGCGGGTGGTGTGAGAAGGCAGGAATATATGGTCCTACCATATAGTTTCCTGTCTAAACTAATTTTAAGTAAAACCTACATGTGTATCTTGCATTTGAGAGACTTTCATCCAGTTATTTGACATAGGCCCCGGTCACACGGGCCGTAAAACGCAGGGGGGGGAGGCAGGGCTTTTTGCGCCGCCGCAATTAGAGCCGCCATAACGCAATCCCACGCGTTGGCGGCATGCCACGGTTCCTTCCCTCCACGCCTGCGCATCAACGAGGGAAAAGTCGTGGCCAGCACGATCACACCGAGGGTCTCTGGAGGCAGCCCGTGGCAAACCGGTTGCTAGTACCTTCGAGCAGGTAGTTTTTTATCGCACATTTTCAGCGGTACGCCACAGGTTGGCCACAGGTGCACTCCACTTCCCAGATGTTGCGGTGCGATCGTGCCCAGATAATCCGCCATGCAATCGTCACTCTCCCGTGGCAAATCCTCCGTGTGAACAGGGCCATAATTATGTTTGTGTGTATGTATGGGGGGGCATTTGTAAAGAGGTTGCTATTCTGACCGTGATTACATATGGATGTTGATTTCCTATGTGCTTCCCGTGTCATACCAAGCTTTTTAAAAGAAACGGTGTTCCTTTTATGGTCCTGGATATCCTTTGGCTATGAATTCCATGAGAATTCACATAGGTGGTGTGTGAAGTAGTGCTTCCTCTTGTGTTGTTTTTAACCTGCAGCCGATCGCTTTAATTGGAAGCTCATAGGTCTAGTGTTCTGAGAGCAAATATTTCGTTGCTTTATCAGCTTGAGCAAAGATGTCCTCCCTTGGGGTGGATCCAGCAAGCTGTTAGGCCAATGAAGAGGGGAAGAAGGAGCTCCCTTTGACCACCCACAAAGGCTCTGCTGGGGATCGTAGGGCCTGCATGGAAAGTAGTAAGGACGGTAGTAAAGAGGAGAATGGGGTGAGATAGAGCTAAAACACTGGCTGAATCGAACATTCAACACGAGGGCTAGTAAATACACGTCTAGCAAATGAAACCGCTCAGAAGTGTGAGGTTCACAGCCCTAAATTTGAAATATAGTTTTTGTGGTAGATAGAACTACGAATTAGAATTTAAAATTTTCTTTGACATAGCAGTAAGTGCAACCTACAGCTTAAAAGGGAGATGTGGATTGCCAACTGTTTGGTCATGGTACAAGTGGGAATTATCTTCTCGCTCCTCCCTCCCAAAAAAGTGGGGATTTGAAAGTAACACGATGAAGCGTTCGCTACCGGAGATGGCAAGAGAATTTGGTTTGTAGAAAACAATGCTTAGAAGTCTAATACTGATTTGTCAGTTCTTCCGGTGTTAACGAACAACATTGTGTGAATTGCTTTATCTGTAAGGTGTAAGCTTAGTATATTGACAATGCAAAAAGTAGCAACGTGGTTAGATACAGGCTTACAATCTGGAACATGTTTAAAAATCTGTACTAGTCTAATCCTGAAAGTGAATGAGATTGGAAGTCTGGTACACAGAAATACCCTTTTGGAGAGGGGAAATGGTCCTAAGCTCAGTTTACCAAAAGTCTTGTAATTGAAAAGAAACTATTTAAAAATAAAGCACTTTTAGGCAAGGAGCCATGTCCCCTGGAGGTCCCTTGTGGTTGTGTGTGTGTGTGTGTGTGTGTGTGTGAGAGAGAGAGAGAGAGAGAGAGAGAGAGAGAGAGAGAGAGAGAGAGAGAGAGAACACGTGTGCATGCACAGCTGCATGTATGGTGGAAAGAAGAGTGTAATTAAAATAATGTTTGTGGAAAATATGTTGTAAATAATGTAATTGAAGTATCTGCAGATAGAAACAGAGCAGTTGTTGATTTATTAAATAGAAAAACTTATCGGCCTGGAACGAAATGAAGCAAAAGTTAGGCTTCCACGGCTGGAACTCGGAGATTCCTCCTTTATTTTGTAGGTCTGCTACTCAGTTAAGAGACAGAAGAGCCAGCCAATGCCCCCCTGTGGTCCACCTGCATGCCTCCCCTCCCTGCTTTGCAACCGGGAAAGGGGGAAGGGAGAGTCCGGGCTGCAACCTGGCAAAACGGCTTGAAACGATGTGTAGAGTTTTGCTGTTATACCTGAAATTCAGAGGGCATTTTGGACAGAAACGAACCCCAGGTTGCTTTTCTGTATCTTATCTAAATATTTTGCAATTGCTGCTAATGTAAATGTACATGAATATATACAAATATTGTCAAGAATTGTTATAATAGACTCACACACCAATCTTTTTTATATTTATATTGTCAAATGTATTCTGCAGACAGCCTA